TGGGTAATAGACATTGTTTATTCATTTGTTCTCATCTTGTGGATGGACAGGTCAGACTCCTTTAAGGGATTACAGATGTTTTCAAGGAATCTAAGCAGTGTATCTGGATTTGATGAAATCAAAACAATATCATCTACAAACAGGAACATCTGAAAGACCTTACGCTCCACAGAGATCCCTCCTTGATGTGGACACCATGATATATGTCTTCAACCACACTTTATTTTCCTCCAACTCATGAATAACTTTCACATTAGTAATAAGTCTTTTCCCATGTGTTAAAATATAGTCAGTTTTGTTCTTTGTGGTGTTGTTTAGTGTGTGCCATGTTCAGTAATTGTCAATTCTTTTTTTAAAGAAAGTGTTCATGATAAAGAGGCATGAGGCCACAGTATAATCTACAAGCTTTTGGTCTTTCATTTCTACCCCCTGAACTATACTTCCCCATACATTTTCCCCTAGCTTCACCTTTCCCAAACTTTGCATTTAAATCACTAAATATTAGAGTATATGACATTTTAATTTTTTTTAATCAATTCCTTCATAGAATCTCTCCACTTTTATCTTCAACAACCAAATGTTGTGCAAGCTGCAATTATTTTCATGGTGGCCTTTTTACAAATATCTCTGGAGAGTTCTACTCTGGTGTATCTTCCTGGCATGGAGATGATCCTGGAATCTCAAAGGCTATACAAACAGAACATGAGGTCTGGTAGGTTCCATCATGCTGGAAAGGTTCTGAATATAGGCCTAGGAAAAGACCTAGGTAATCATAGGCTGGTCACCTAGTAACTATTTTTAATTTTTTCAGCTATGGAAACCCATGAAACTAACTAAATAAATAAAAAGATTGCTCTCTATCCTTTGTGGCCCCCTTCTGCTTGTGAAGTGATGATGGTAGAGTGGTGGGGAAGAGGACAGAGAGGAGTCAAGGATAATATAGTCTTTAGACTCTCAGCAAAACTCAATTTGATTATTGGTACTCTAAATGTGAGATCCTTGGTAAATCACCAATGAATGGACATCTTGCTGGAGAAAGTGAATAATATCCACCTTGACATTTTTGCTGTAAATGAAACCAGAAGTAATATGGAAGCTGCAGTTAAATGGCATAATGGCTTCTTGGAGAGGCTTAAAAAAGGAGTTGGCAGATTTTTTACTTGCCCCAAAGCTACAAGAAATATAATTTTATAGGACCTTTGACCATTATGTATACAGTATATATGTGTATCTACATATACCTATGTTTGTATATTTACATATAAATGTAAAAACTGAAAAAGAATGATGTGTATGGGGAACAGCAAGTTGACAGTTTTAGGAGAACTAAAGAGAACGTAAAGGGTAATAACGTATAAGAGGCCTTGGGAGATAGAATGGAACCAGATTATGGATGGATTTAAATGTCAAATTGAGTATTCTTTATTTGACCCTCTAGGCAACAGGGAATCATGGGAACTTCTTGAGGAGGGGGGTGACAGTGGCAGAACTCTGCTTTAGGACTGTGACTTTGGCAGCTATGTTGGCTATGGATTGGAGAGGGGAGAAACTGGAGACAGAAAGATTAGTTAGGGGGCTATTGCAATAGAAGAAATAAATAGCAATGAGAGACTGAACAAGGGTTGTAAGTATGTGCTTACAGAGAATGTGATAGATAACAGAGCTATCTTGGAGGTTACAGACAATTCTGAGTTTGCAAACATGGGTTTCTAGAAAAATGATGGTACCACTGACAGAATTAGCAAAATGAAGAATGTTGTCTTTGGGCCAAAATATGAGTTCTTCTTTAGACAGGTTGAGTATGAGATGTCTTTGAAACATCCAGGTGAAATGTTCACTAAGCAGTTGCTAATGTAAGACTGGAACTTAGGAGAGAGAGTCAAGTCTACATATGTAGATCTGGGAGTCATCTACATAGAGATGATGTTTGAATTTGTGGAATGTGCTAAGATCACTAAGACAGAATATAAAGAGAATAAAAGAGAGCTCAGGACAGAACCTTGGTATGCTTCACCAGTTAGGATACAAGACACAAATGATGATCAAAAACTGAGAACAAGCATCCAGACCATTAGGAGGAGAAGAGAAGAGATATAGTCAGACCTGTGCTTTAGGAACTTCAATTTGGCAGCTATATAGAGGACAGATTGGAGAGAAGAGAGAATGATACATGATGCTTCATTGTCTCCTCCTCATAACATCCCTAGCTTTCTTCAAAGCTCATCTCATGTGTCACTACCACCAGGAAGTCTTTGGGGATTCCCTAAATACCAGTGCTATCCCCTGAGCATGCTACTTCACTACTCTAGTAACACCTCTTTGTATATTCTTTGTACATATTTTTAATTTACTTCTTTGTGTGCGTTTTGTTTCCTCCAACAGAATTGAAGCACCTTGAAGAGAAAATTGCGTATTTCTAGTCCCAATCATAGTACCTAGAACAAAATGGCTACTTTAACAATGCTTGTTCATTTGAATTGAATTGTACTGTATGGAATATGAATTACTATTAGCCACATGAAAAAGAATAGACTGCAAAAGAGGAGCGATATAATAATTTCTATAAGAAGATATTTATTTGAGGAAATACAAAAATAAGAGGAGGATTATAGGGGAAAGATGGAAGAGAGCATTGAGGACTAGAAAAAGAGAAGAAAAAAAGAGAAGTGATGCTGTGATAAAAATGACTTAGGCACAAAGAAGCGACAGATGCCTTCAAGAAATAGATCACCAAAGAACCATAAAGGTATGCTATATTAGTGATGAGGACATGAAGTATCTGCATATCTTCTGGAGCTTATTATCTGCCAAAATCAGGCAAATTAATAAATTATTAACTTCCTATAATAACCACTTCATGCTTTAAAAGGTAAAAAAAAATGCAATATGAGGAATAGCTATTCTCTATTCAATTCCGACTAAGAAGGAAGAAGTACTAGCTGCTATTTAGATGATGAGATCCATTGGGGAAAGGGACAGCCTCCTGACAAAGTTAAGTATAGAGAAGGAAATGGAAGTTTGATATCTGACATATACCCCAGGGTTGAGAAGAGTAGCTCCCAAAAGTCCTTCCCCTAAAGAATAAGTAGATCATTGACTAAAATTCTACAAAGGAATTCAGCTCACTTTTTCCATAGATATATGAAAAGTTCAAAAAATTAAATTCTGAAAAGACAATCACAAGTGATTCTGCTGAGGAAGAAAAGGGAAAATTGGATAAAGGGGCCATGGTGAATACATAGGTTAGTCACTGACCTAATCATATCTATAAAAAACAAGCATAAAAAAGGGAAGCAAGGTAGGAAACTGAGGATGAATAAATCTAGAGTGGCATGGTCCTTGTGTAAGAATAATGAGCTCTAAGACTCAGAATGAATTTTGGCAGGTGGTGAATGCTAAGGGTGACAAATGGATCTTTTAAAAAGAAATGGACTTGACTTGGAAGTCAAGAAGACCCTATTCAGAGTGAATACAACAATGATAATGGATTATCTGAATTAGTATTATCTGAATTCAGTATTAGCCTGAAGGGAAGTCTTTATTTTAATGTACAATAATTCATCTTTTGCCTAGTGCTATTCAGCCTTTTTTTGGTCAGCTACTTGGATCTAGTTATGCTTATCAACTTTGTAGATGACATAAAGCTATGAAAGATAGATATCATGCTGAATGACAGGGATATGACCCAAAAGAAATTTCTTAAGAAAAAAGATAAGCTATATCTTTTAGAATAAAATTTAATTAGGATAATATAAAGGTCTTGTGCTTGAGTTCAGAAAAATTAAATGCAGCAGTGAAGTCTATATTAGAGAAAAATTGTATGAAAAATACCTGGAGATTTTAATGAATTTCAAGTGCAATAGATATATACATATACATATACATATATACATTTATATGTATATGTATATATATATCAATAGTAAGAAATGGAAGTTCAAAAAACTGGATATATTTAGATAATAGGAGAAAAATTTAGATGGGGCAGTAAAACTGCTTACAAGTATTTGACAGATTTTCTTGTGGAAGAGGAAGTACACCCATTCTGCTTCACTCCAGGAGGCAGAACTAGAAGCAGCAAGTAGATGTTCCAGAGGTGTAGACTTTGGATAAGTATAAGAAAAAACATAATTGTTAAAGCTGTCCAGTGAAGAATAGGATGCTTTAGAAGGCAGTGTGTTTCACATTACTGGTGGTCTTCAAGCAGTAGTTGCTAGCATCTCAAAAATGTTTTACAGGGGATATTGTCTTAGGTGGATGTTAAGCTAGAAGATTCCAGAAATGTTACTCAACTAAGATATTCCGTGCTTCTTTCAATGAACCTTTGTATTCCACTTTTCAAGGACTCTCGTTATCACTAAAATTAATAAGAGTACGGATCATTTCATTCTTTGCATTTATATCCCCAGTGCCTACAACAGTGTATCTATTTACTAAATGATTGTTGATTACTTTGGTCATCTTCCTCTGTATGTACTATAACTTGGCAGTGTCTCTCTTTATATGTTGCATTTAGTACAAAATCTAGCAATGTAGAAGTGACCTTAGTGTAACAATATACAATGGCACCAGGACCATACACCTTTTGAACAATATGTAAATATGCATAGTAGTCTAAAATCAGGTTAGTCTTTATGCAGCTCCCTAATCACTTCCTAAATGCATGGCTGTCTCTATTTCTTCCAAAGAATCATTACAGCACAACTGGTTTAATATCCTGAAATGTAAAGCAGAATTTCCAGGGTCTATGATAATTCTATAGTAATAATATTTTCCCCATGGAACTTCAGACTAGCATAACTCCACTCAGTTCTCTAATGTGATAGATGTATCACGTCTATCCACACCTGAGGCATATTACAGGTATAGGATACACAGATGCGCAGCATATATGATTTCTCTGTGACTCAGTCATGAGGGAAAGTCCATTTCTTTCCCAGAGGCCATAAAACAAGCTTTGGAGGTAAAGGGTATTTTCAAATCCAATTATAGTTAGAGCATCAGAGTTTGCAGAATAGTCTCTTAATGGCTACATTCCTGAGTGCTTTCTTCACGTCTTTGTTCTTCAGGCTGTAAATGAGAGGGTTAAGCATGGGTGTTATCACTGAATAAAACATTGACACCAGCTTCCCCAGCAACTTAGCAGATTTGGGTGTCATGTATGAAATTATTCCTGACCCATAAAAAAGAGTGACTACAAGAAGGTGGGAGCCACAAGTAGAGAATGCCTTAAGTCTCCCTGAGGTTGTCTTCATCCTGACCACAGTCACTATTATAGAGCCATAGGACACCAGGATCAGGGATACAGGTGCAAGGAGGATCAATACACCCATAAGGAAAATGGCTGTTTCTGCACTGTGAATGTCTGCAGACGCCAAGGCCAGGATTGCTGGGGGTTCACAAAAGAAATGAGCAATCCTATTGTCTCCTTGATAAGGAAGCCTTAGTGTAAATGTTGTATCCACCAAGGACACTAGAATACCACTAGCCCAGCACCCCAAGGCCAGGTGGCCACACACCCTCCCCGTCATGATGAGAGGATAGTGCATGGGATCACAGACTGCCAAATACCTGTCATAGGACATCACAGCTAGCAGTGCACACTCAGTACACCCAAAAAGGAGGAAGAGAAGAAGCTGAGCTGCACACCCTATGAAGGAAATGTCCTTCTTCCTGGACAGCAAGTTGAACAAGGCTTGGGGAACAATAGTGGTAGAAAAAAAGAGATCAGCTGTAGACAAGTTGCACAGGAAAAAGTACATGGGTGTATGAAGCTGTGAGTCAGTCAGAACCAGGGAGATGAGGAGCAGATTTCCAAAAACAGTAACCAAGTAGACCACCAGGAACAATACAAAGAGCAGCAGTTGAGTCTGAGGGTCATCAGAGAGACCTAAAAGAAGAAATTCTGTAACCCAGGTCTGATTGGTCTGGCTCATGTTCTTTTCACTTCTTTAGAAAGGAGCCAACAGGAATTTGATGTGTGGATATAACCTGCAGAATTATAGAATCTAGTGTTGGAAGGGAACTAAGAGGTAACTAGTACAGTCTCCCACCCAATGACAAATCGGTGCCCTGATAAATGTCCATTAAACACTTTCAGTGATACTTAATACACTGTCCCAAAAGAAAGACATTCCATGGTTGCACAGTTCTGTTAGAAATTACTTTCAAACATTGAGGTCAAGTTTTCCACTCTATAATTTTCTACTATTGATATTAGTTCTGTCTTCAATCTTCTGGATAGATGTTCATTAAGTACTTCCTTTGAGAAGTAGTGTGCTGTATCATAAGGAAGGCTCTCCATTGTTGTACAGCTCCAATTATTGGACAGTATTTCTTCATGTCCAGCTGAAGTCCCCCATATTGTAATTTCTACCCACTGATCTATCTTCCATCACTTGATCCTGCATAGTCAATCTAACCCCTTTATCACATTATAGCCTGGAAAATATTTTAATACACTTTACATGTTTTCCCTTAGACTTTTTTCCAGGTTAATTGCCACTATTACTTGATATATTTCTAGAAATTAAAAAAAAAGACAAGAAAAGAATTTAAGGAAAGAAAAAACAAAATTGTCCCCATTCAGATGACATGATACCTTATATAGGGAGTCCCATGGATTAATTAAAATTAATTGAAAACATTAATAATTTCAATAAAGAAGCAGGGTGTAAAATAAATCCACATAAATCAACAGGCTTTCAGGATATTGTTACCAAAGCACAGAATAATTTATAAAAATAAATTTCATTCACAATAACTACAAAATGTATAAAATATCTTGCAGTTCACCTATCAAATCACATTCAGGACTTCTATAGATACAATCAAAAACATTTTTTCAGAAATAAAGGAAGGCAAATAATTTAGGAGATATTAATTATTCATGGTTAGGCCATAATAGTATAATAAAAAGGATAATATTGCCTAAAGTACTTTAATGATGTAATGCCAGACTGATCAAACTACCAAGGGGTTACTTTGTAGAATTAGACAAAATAATGACAAAATTTAGCTGGAAGAATAAGGGGTAAAAATAAATATGGGAAATAATGAAAAAGTAGGAATTAAGGTCTCTTAGTTCCAGACCTCAACTTATACTATAAAATTGTGATCTTCAAAAATATTCTATTTGTTACTGGTTTAAAAAGAGGAAGCATGGCATAGAGGTAGAAGAATCAGGGGGGAGGGACGGAAAGATTTGCAAGGAGGAAGATCGCATGCTTGTATGGGGAAAAGGTCCCATTGAAGAGCATTTCCATGGGGACAGGGGATGTGTAGAAGATGGCACTTCACAGTGGGTTCCATTTACGGTAAACTTTAATTTGGGAAATCACTTTCTTTAAAAGACATTTGCACTTCAACCAGCATTCTACTCAAAAGAAAAGATATATGAACTCCTATAGGCAGTTGATGCCCAGAATGTGTGGGGAATGAGGCACAGAGCTAGAGACAAAATAGCACACAACCTTTAAGAAGGATATTAACTGTGGTGAGAACAGAGTTGAGGCTGAGCAGTAAAATTTGGGAGTGAAAGTAATTTCTACCTTGCAACATTACCTTCATCCAAAACAGCTTCCATCATGAATTGATATTTCTAACATTGAGGCATAGCAGAAAACTGTTGGAGAATTTAGATATGTGTGAAAGATTTATGACATCTTCCCAATGGAAATATTAAGGAATGTACTTATTTTACAACATCATGTGGCACTTATATAAAAGTAGACCAAGTGCTATGACACATAGAAATCATGAATAAATATAAAAAGCAGAAATACTAAAAATATTATTTACAAACCACAGTGAAATAAAAATAGTGACTACTATGTAGAACACAAGCAAAAGATACAGACCTAAATGGAGAAATTATAACCTGATTAATGAATGGGTCAAAGAAAAAATGGAGGGCAAGATCTATAAAAGAAAAAAAATAGAAATTTTCCAGGGAGTCCAAACCCAATGTGTCAAAAACTTTTGATGCCAGCAGAGAACCAGAGAGAAGAAAGAAAGAAAATAAGGTTATAACTCACAAAGCAGGGGAAAAAAATCAAAATATATCAGATTGGCAGGAAGATAATAAGGAGTACAAAGCAAAGAAAAACTTCCTAAAATAAGATTAAATAAAAGAAAATTAATAATAATAAGCTATAGAGGATGAGGAAAAGATTTTGGTCACTTAACTGAGTGGAAAAAGAGAAGGGACAAAAAGGGATAGAAAAAGATAACTAAATATATTGAGGAAGGAAAATTTGATAATTTAAGTAAAATTTTAAAACTTGGAAAAAAGTTTTTAATAGGAATGAGAGAGGTAGGATGGAAGTGAGACAAACATAGAGACAAACAAACAAAAAATCCTATGGGAATCGATTAGCCTCAAAGTAGCTTAAACCTAAATAACCATGGGGACAAATTACCGATGAAAAAGAGTAAAGGGAATTTTTTTAAAAAAGCAATACTAAAGAAGTTAGTAGGAGAAAACTGAAGCCTAGCAACTGTAAAAATAAATAATTCAACAAAATGAAAGGGAATGACAAAATGAATAAGAAAATAACAAACTTGATAATCTATAATGTATGAGAAACTCATCTGAAAAGGAAAGATAAATATAGAATTAACATGGGAGGCCAGAACAAAATTGATCATATATTAGATGAATTTAGAAAATCAGGAATCTCAATTATGCTGTCAGATAAAATCTCACAATATCAATAGAGATAATCTATATTATACTTAAAGGAAACTATATTATACTCAAAGGAACTAAAGACAACAAATAAATACTAATACTCATCTTATATGCACCAAATAGCATAACAACAGAATTCATCAAGGAAAAGTTAACTAAATGGCAAAAAGATATAAGTAGTATTGCAATAATTGTAGGACATTTTAATGTTACTCTCTCAGAGTTATACAAATCTAATAGAAGGATAAATAGAAAGGAAAATAAAGAAACTAACAAGAAATGTTGGAGAAGTTAGATATGTGCGAAAGATTTATGACATCTTCCCAATGGAAATATTAAAGAATGTACTTATTTTACAACATCATATTGCACCTGTATAAAAATAGACCAAGTGCTATGACACATAGAAATCACGAATAAATATAAAAAGCAGGAATACTAAAAATATTGTTTACAAACCATAGTGAAACAAAAATAGTGACTACTACATAGAATGTGAGGAAAAGATACAGACCTAAATGGAGAAATTATAACCTGATTAATGAATGGTTCAAAGAATAAGTCATACAATTAATAAATATATGAAAAAGAATGATAATGATGAGACAACATACCAAAACTTCTGGAATGCTGAGTAGTCCTCAGTGAAAAAATATACATATATATGTATATATGTTTATATATAAGGTACATATGTATTTATGTTGAGAACATATGTTAACAAAATAGAAAAAGAGAGATTTAATAAACTGAACAAGCAATTAATAGAATAGAATCATGAAATAAGCACAAAAGAGGGATTTTTTTCAAATTATAGGAAAAGTAGATAAACCAAAAGACCAAATGCATATAAAAATTGACAAGCAAAGCCAAAAAGGACAATCTTGTTATTACCTTCTTAAATTTAACTATCTTTTTTTCATAATAAACAGCATAAAAAGAAATTCAGTTTTATATACAGTCCTCTTTTTTGTTTTTCTTTATGTATTAGAATGTTTGTATTTGTGTATATGTTCATGTTTCTGGATGATCATTAAGTTCAAAGAAAAAAATAATTTCAAAATGAAAAATTATCGAACTATGTGTAAGACCTTTTGAGGATACTACCCATGAGAGTTTCTGGGACCATTCCTTTCCTGTAAGTAATGTCTATAATAGTAGTAACGGAACCCTGCACAAATATCCTGAATACATATATAATCTGTCTTTGGCCATGCATACAGGAAGTAATGACTACAGGTACTGTGGAATATGCAGTTTTCCCAAATTCCTAATTTTCAGGATCTACTTTGATTTTGATCTTGAAAGAATTTGGGAGAGGAAGAAAAAAGGTGTTATGACAAGAAAGAGGAATTCATAGCAATTGGGTGGACATGGGGAAGCAGGTGGCACAGGAGATACCATGCTGTTCAGTAGGTGAGATAGGGACAAGTTACCCTTTGGAACAACTTGCTGAGAATTAAAACTGAAGATGTATGGCTGAGCTATGCTTTACAGAGCTAAAGTGAGTGAGAAGGAGAAATAATGAATCCTCTCTCTTTCTTTCCCCTCTCTCTTCCTCTACTAGAAAGAAAAGCAGGTTTCTGTGGCACTAGTGAAGGTCTTCACTACAGCTCCTACTATCCCATTAAAGTTGTTTGAAAAGGGCAGAGGGAGCTTTAGGAACATTGCTATTTCCCTGAATGTGCACTTTTCACTTCTAAACCTTTAAAATGCAATAATACTTGTTTACCAATAAAATCTAGGCTATATATTATATTTTAGATAATCTCCATAGGTAAAATTAAAAGATAAGACTGAGGACTTTTTTTTTAAAAGATGAGAGATATATGTGTTTGGTAAAGTTGGGCTAGAGAGTTGGAGTCAAATAGAGCTGTAGAGAAGCAGAGATCAAAGCCAGTGTTATATTTCAAATCACCAAACTAGAATTACTAGAAACCAAAGATGTCCCAGATCTATTATTTGTTCCTTTTGTGAAAGAGCTCATTAAGGGACAGCTAGGTAGTGCAGTGGATACAGCACCAGCTCTGGAGTCAGGAACACCTGAGTTCAAATCTGGCCTCAGACACTTGACACTTACTAGCTGTGTGGACCATGAGCAAGTCACTTAACCCTGATTGCCTCACACACAAACAAAAAAATCACTAATCCCAGCTGCTTTCTAGGAGTGAAAAATTATTTTCAGTCCAAGAAGATTTAGGAGGCTTGTCCCCATTGAGAGATTCCTTTAAGAAATTTCAAAGA